ACACAAGACACTGGGTTTGGAAGGCCACCACTCAGATCGAAAAAAGTAAAAACAAATTGGCTCAGTGAGCTGCACTGCACGCTGTTTACCGTTATGTCTGGATTTTGACCTACTCACAGGCACTGGAATGGCCTGGCCATACGGTGCGGTGGATGGGCAGTGGAAGACTGGACTACGAACGGGGTGCTCTTCCGGGGCATGGCCATATGGAAATCACTGTGGAAATCTGAAGGGTACATTCACAGGCCATATCAATGCCCATCAGAAGAACCCCTTTTCAGCATCAGAAGATGTTTACAAATGGTGAGCAGACACCCAGGTGTGCCACTTGAGGTAGCCACGGGGTTAATCAAGTGAGTGAACTCAAACAATGCAGAGAGGGGTTGACTCTAGACATATTCCTTTTGCATCAGTGGAGGCACAAAATGCCAACAGGAACTGTTCTGTCTGCCAACAAGAGAGATTTAGGGACTGCAGATGGCTATGGGGAAGATGCTCTGCAGGGAGTCCTTGTGCACAACGGCAAGTCCGACTGATGCCTGGAGCACTGGGGGCTACAAGTGGGTCCTGACAGAAATGGACACTGACTCTGGGCTGAGCTTTGCTTACCGGGTGGTTGAGGCAAAGGTTCAGAGTACTACGGAAGAACCGGAGTAGAAGGTATTGCACTGATCTGGACCACTGAGTCACATTTCTTCAGACCAAGGAACACACTCTACAGCCCATCCTGTCCAACAGTGGGCAGAGAAAAACAGTAGCCCTCTTTGTCCACAGGGAGATATGCATTGAGATCCCCAATGCATACCTGAAACTGCAGGTAGCACCAAACTCTAAGTACACTATATTCTTTCCTATACATACATACCGACGACAACATATAATTTACAAATTAAGCACAATAAGAGAAGAACTACTAATAAAACAGAACAATTGTAACAATATACTACAATAAAAGTTATGGGAATGTCATCTCTCTCACTCTCTCAAAATATCTCATTGTGCTATACTCACCCTTCTTGTGATGAGATAAAGTGAGGAGAATGATGTAGGCATTGGGATATGGTGTTTGGCGACTACTGACCATCTGACAATAGGTCAGAAGGAGGAACACCTGTTTCTGGACCATGGCTGACCACCAGTATCTAAAACGGTGGAAACAAACACCACAGATAAAGAGGGACTCCTTCCTATATCTTCCTCAGGTTAGTACTTTGGTAAAGAATTAGAACAGGCCATCAAACACTGGTTATCTAAATGGGGGTGGGGGGGGGGGGTGGAGAGAGTCAAAAAAGGCTGGTTTACATGCCTTCACGAGTGTGTGCTCACGTTCAACATGAGGGGTTAGGGGAGTGTTCCCATTATTCTGGATCTGGACTCAATGGGTGGAGCAGGATCCTGGTAAAACTACTATACTTTGTTTTTCCTTTCCCACATCACCTCAATTTACTTTTTCCTACCTGGTGCCGTGGTCCCTGGGCCAAGGCTGCAACTACAGCGCTAGAAGGAGGAATTTTTTTTTTTTTTCCAGGCCTTCGACACACCACTTCCCTGTGGCAGTGTGCGGGCCTCCAGGGAGGCTGAACCTGTACCTGGAGTGCTCTCCCTGGACCCACCTGGGAGGCGCCCTGTCTTCCGGAGGGCTGAGGGCCAGTAGGGACAGAGCTGTGGCATCACTGGCCAGGAGCTTCGCTGCCAGGAGGATGATCCATTTACTGTGCTTTGTAGACCGTGTGGTCTGGAAGGCCGGGAACCACATGAGCCAGTCCAGGTGGTGGTGGCGGGGGGAGATGAAGCTTGGCCGCCGCCCTGCGTCACCCGTCTTGCACTTGAACTCATAGTCCTCCCACAGGGTGGCAGGCGTGCTGGTGTTGGGGCTGACTGTGCCCTGCAGGATGACCTCCGTGCTCTCCTTGGTGATGCTTCCGAAGGTGCTCTATGTGTTGATGATCCTGGGAGGGTGTTCATGACCCGCGTGAGACTCAGCAGGTTGATGACCACGGGGACACAGAGCCAGGCCACCACGATCTCCAGGGTCACATGCACCACTTACCGAACCATGCAGCCGTATCTCGGGGTGGGCCGAGCAACAAACTGTTTTAAAATATTTGTCAGCATTCCTAAGGGCCTGATGGGTGGGCTGTGCTTTCTATCTGGCAATTTTAGGAGCTAACAATGAATAAACCATATAGCCTATGGATAGAAATACCCGACTAGGTCTGTGCCTGTATAACCCTATCCTGCATGAATGGGAGCAGGCTAAGGGGGAGGCACTTGCTAGGCTTGTTTGTTGCTTGCAATCTAGACCAGCATAGTGGCTGAACCTAAGGTACTTTTCAAAAGTGAAAAAGTTTGGGTATAGATGGAGAGGAGGAAAACTGGCTAAGAATAAATTTGTTTTGCAATGAGAAAATTCCAGTATTAATGCTTGGAAAGAAGCTTGGAGCAAAAGATGAGATTGTCTTTTAGCTCAATTATACCACATGCCTGAAAGTGTGAAGCTGAAACCACTCCTGCTTTTGAAACTTGACAAATGTAAGGAAACTTGCAACCCTAAGTGCACTCACTGAGAGACATTCTGGTCCTAGGATGTGAACACGATTGAACTAATTATTAGAGACTGGATGGGACTCTAGTAATGTGCCAATATCTTTTGACTCTTATTTTTCAGGTTATGTCTATGATAATGTGATACGTTATTACACACTGGCATTGTTGAAAAGATAATACTGCTATTGATAAACAAATGCTTTGGGAAATTGATTAATAGCTTCCTTTCCTTACCCCACATTGACTCTTCTAAATGTTGCTGTATCTTTTATGCTCAGTCAGGTTTGTACCTTGCCATAAAAGATCCCATGCTTAAAGACCAGGGGATGCCTTGTGATATAATAAAGAATATATTTGGTCTGAGGTGAAGTGTGTAGGGGGTGGCTGGTACAGAACTTTCAAAACCCTTTGAATTTCCTTAATGATAGGAGTATCTTTGTTATGCTAATGAGGCATATGTGTGGGGTGTGTGAGTGAGTGATGGGGGCTAGACAACTTCAGCATGAGGACTGGCCTGCAGAAAAACCACACGGTTGGAGAGCTAAAACTTTCAGCCACCTGACCTCCAAGGAGACAAAGAGTTCGATCACGTGGCCACTGATTTAATCAATTATACCTATGTAATAAAACCCTGATAAAAAATTCAGGACAGCAAGGCCTATGAGCGCATCCTGGTTGGTGAGCACATCAATGTACGGGGAGGATGACGGTCCTGGATCACATGAAGAGAGGGCATGGAACTCTATGCTGTCCTGCTTTCCCCCCAGATCTCTCCTTTTTCTTGGACCTCGCTCTATGCACCTCTTTTACTTGGCTGCTCCGGGGTTGTATCTTTTATAATAAAACTGTAGTTGAACGTAAAGCATTTTAGTGAGCTCAGTGAGTCATTATAGTGAACTATCAAACCTAAAGTGGGTATAGTAGGAATCCTCAAATTTGCAGCCAAGTCAGAAGTGTGGCTATCCTGGGGTCCCCGCATATAGCTGGCAACTGAAATAAGAGCAGTCTGGTTGGGGATCCTGTCCTCTAGTTTGTGGGACCTGATACTAACTCTGGGTAGTGTCAGAATTGAATTGTAGAACACCTTGTTAGTATCAGAATTGTTAGAATGCAGACATATTTCATTATATTTTTTTAACTTTTTAAATTATAGTAAAATAAATACAAAATTTACCCTTTTAACCATTTTTCTTTTTAAACTTTTTATTGGAATATAACAATATAAAACATATAAATAAGTACAACTTATAAGAAAACTGCTCAATCATATCTCACAAACTGAACTCACTCTTACACCCAGCAGCTGGATGAAGAACAGAACATTTCAACGTTCCAGAAAAGAAAAGAAATAAGCTGAAAAGTCAGAAACATTTTCATAAAAGAAATCTAAATATATTCATTAAAATGGGGGTGAGAGAGGTAATCACTTTTTTTTTTTTTTTTAAGATTTTTATTTATTTATCTGACAGAGACAGAGAGAGGGCACAAGCAGGCAGAGGGAGAGAGAGAAGCAGGCTCCCCACCAAGCAAGGAGCCCGATGCGGGACTCGATCCTAGGACCCCGGGATCATGACCTGAGCCGAAGGCAGCCGCTCAAGCAACTGAGCCACCCAGGCATCCCGAGGTAATCACTTTCTAATGCATATGCATATACCCAGTCTATAATCTACCTTTCCAAAATTTACTTCATGGAGGACTTTTTCTAAAGAGTATTTGTGTTAGTGATCAAAAGCTTTTGTGGCAACAATTTTAGGACATACTGAATTAAGGTAGACAAAAAGGTTTATCATTTAAGATTTTCACAAATTCAGACTCCAGGACCTAGTGCCTGAACATTCTCAAGTCAGGAAAGGAATGAGGAAAAAATTTTTTGCCCATGCTAGATATATTTCTAAAATAATGGTAAGAACAAAATTTACCATTTTAACCATTTTTAAGTGTACAATTCAGTGGCATTAAGTATACCCATGGTGCTGTGCAACCATCATCACCATTTCTAGACCTCATTCATCCCAAACCGGAATTCTGTACTCATTAAACAATAACGCCGCATTGCCACCTCCCCCCAGAGCCTGGCAACCACTATTTCTTCTGTCTCAATGAACTTCCCTACTGTAGGCACCTCATATAAGTGGGGTCATATGATAGTCTGGTTTATTTCACTTCACACAGTATTTTCAAGGTTCATCCATGTAGCATGTGTCAGAATTTCCTTCCTTTTAAAGGCTGAATAATATTCCACTGTATGTGTCTACCACATTTTGTTTATCCATTCATCTGGTGATAGACATCTTTTTTCTCCACATTTTTGCGACTGTGAATAATCCTGCTATGAACGTTGATGTACAAATAGACATACATTTTCATAAATCCATCCTCATGTATTTTTCTTGTATAAATAAACTTTTGGAACATCTTATAATTTAGAGGTTGAATAAAAATTAATGACAATGTACATTTTTAAGAGTCCAATGTTTTATTATCAGAATTAATATTTGCTCATGCTGAAGATTCAGGGATAAAATAATGGACAAAAAACTGGAATGTAAGCAACGCTACATAAACATATAGGAATATTTTGCTAATTATTGGACTAAAATATACAAAAGATGAAATTATGTCAATTACTTTGTGATTAGTCTTTTTGAATGTACTTTTAGTATTTCATAGCAAGTGCTTATACTTAAAGATACTGCCTTTTTTTTAGCACTGAAAATATGATAATCCTTGATTAATCAGAATTAGTTTCAAAAGGTAAAACTTCTTCGAGGTAAGCAAGAAATTTAGGGCCTTAGACCTGTATTCTTGCTGGACTGGCTGCTTGATGATCGCTCTCGTTCTTTAGTAATTTCCATCTCAATTTTGGCTCTGACTTTCTCCCAATCTATTTGGAGCTGTAAAAGAAGAAAAGAAGAAACATACTGATATAGTATAACATATTTTTGCTTAATTCAAAGTAACCAAGAGCAAACAAAAATAGAATAGCTTCTAAATCACTAGCAAAGGGGCACCTGGGTGGCTCAGTGGGTTAAGCCTCTGCCTTCGGCTCAGGTCATGATCTCAGGGTCCTGGGATCGAGCCCCGCATCGGGCTCTGTGCTCAGCATGGAACCTGCTTCCTCCTCTCTCTCTGCCTGCCTCTCTGCCTACTTGTGATCTCTGTCTGTCAAATAAATAAATAAAAATTAAAAAAAAAAATCACTAGCAAAAAAAGAGAGCATGAAAGACAAGTCATAAAATAATGCTAAAAAATACCTTTAAGAATAAGATCGAAGAGAACAATTACCACAACAAAAGGCAAAGACTCTTATTATGATTGAAAAGACCAAAATCTAGTTGTAGCTATTTATAAAAGGTACATCTAAAGAGTCCCATGGAGTCTTAGGATTCAGCATTGGTGCCTCAGGGACAAGAGGAGGTGAAAAAGGGGAAAAATGGACAGGGTCCTTGCCATGAAGCCATGGGTTAGCACTTCACCTCTTAAATACCGAGGTTTCCATTAGAAGCCTAGCTATAAGGAAGGATAGAGGAGCACTTGCTTTTTCTGAGCATACTCTGAAAAAGTGGCCGCTTGGCAACAACTTTTTAAGTAATATAGACATGGTGATGGTTTAGACAATGGCAAAAAAGATATTAAAGGAAGCACAGTGGGTAAGCAAGGCTGGGACACAAAACAATCACAAGTGGTACCATTCTTGTTTCCTTTTTTTTTTTTTAGAACTCTAGGCCCAACCTGGGGCTCAAACTCACAACTGGGAGGTCAAGAGTCAGCCAGGCACCCCTGTTCTTCCCTTTGATCCATGATGCAGTACCCTCTCTGCCCTACCTTTCCCCTAAGCTCATTACACTGGATGTTAGCAATGGACTCCGCTCTGAGTTCTATGAACAATTTCTTTAGGAAAAAGCATTCTATTGTTTATAAAAGTTTGGAGATCACTGCTTTAGGAATGTGTATTCTCTCAGGAAAGACACAGAAAAATTGGGGCCTAGATTAAGCTAAATGATTTACAATGAAATAAACCCAAACTTTGAGACTGAGCCAAAAGTGAATAGGTTTTTCACCTCCACATAGCAGAGTTGTGTGAAATAAGCAGCATTAAACCAGACTGAAATATTACATGCTGCCTGAGTGGATTTCTTTCAAGTACCTGGGAGATTAATTTAACCTTATCAGGACCTCATGCCTTTTTTTTTTTTTAATTAAAGCTTTATATGAGAGAGGGAGGATGGGAGAGAGAGAGCACGTACACAGTGGGGGAGGGGCAAAGGGAGAGAGAAAGAGAGAGAAAATCTCAAGCAGACTCTGCTGAGCGTGGAGCCAGAGCAGGCCCATCCTACAACTTTGAGATCATGACATGAGTGGAAATCAAGAGTCAGAGCTTAACTGAGCCACCCAGGTGCCCCCACGCCTCTTTTATTTTGTGCTGCAAGTTGATGGAACTAAGTATGTGGTTCTTTTTTATTCTAATATCCTTCAACTAAATTTCTGTAATTTGTGGATATTTGGGTCAATTTTTTTTAAAGAAGATAATTCCATATACTTGTCTATAATATATAAAATAGATGAGTTAAAAGAATCCTGCTTACTCATAGAAGATGAATGTCTGTGGTAAGACGCAAGTGACAGCTCATTGAAAGGTAGAACAAATGTTAAATTATCTGAAAGACTGATTTTTCAATCAGGTCAGAGCTTGATATTTTTAAATGGCAAAACACTCGTTTCTATGTCTAACAAAACATTCGCAAAGAGAAAGACAAAACTTGATTAATGTCTTGGCCTTCTTCCAGCCTTGAATTGACTTACACATGTTTCTCAAATTCATCACAATAAAACCATACATCAACTGTGCACTACACAACTGTCACTCTGTTGCACCAGAAGTCCATCAAGCAAATTGATGACATCTGTATTAGTCACTTGTCATAGTACAGATGAGGGTGTCAGTTGATAGCTATCCTACTGAAAATAAATGTTTCATTTTCACTCTGGCATTAATCCAGTTTTAGAATAGTATTCTACAGATAATTTGGTTCTTAGAGTATTTTTACTAGTGGGTATTAGATAAGGATGTACTCATGACAACTTTCAAGTGACTGACTTCTACGTGAAGATACATCTTTTTATACTATAGGGAGGGTCAGTACTATTTGGCACTTCTTATTCTAGTCCCTGGTAAATTCTTCTTATTCACATGGAAGTAATTTCAAAATCATACCAAATGGCTTTCCATCCGCTTTCTTACTCTCTGCTGAAAATCAGCTTCCTCTTTACAGAGAATACAGTGGCCATCAGACATGAATTCACTTAATTTCCTTCTTCACACAAACTTACCTACAACCGTATCCATCTCTAGCTCTTTCCCTTCTGTCTTAGGCTAACCTCTTCACATATGTCCCCGATCCCATCTTCTTCCACTCCACTGGGACATCTGCCTTCAGTTATCACTTATATATTCAATTTCCTTCTCTTCACTGGCTGCTCCTTACCATCCTTGCCCCTCAATACTGTCTCCCTGCAAACCACCACTCTCATTCTTCTCATTCCTGACTCTCATCTTCTCCCCAGAGCATTGTAATGTGACCATGTTCCTACTATACTTCATAAACTTTTCACTAATGCCACCATTAAGTATTTTTATTCTTTATCCTATATATGATTCAACTACGCAGTCAAAAAATATTTGGTGCTTACTATATGCCAAAGATTGTTCTAGGTGCAACGATTCAGCAGTGAACAAAAAGATAAAAATCAGTCTTCATAGAAAGAATAGCAAAGGTAACAATGGAGTCTATAAAAATATACAAAATGTGAGAAGTGGTTAAGAGTTTTGAAAACAGGGAAGGGAAACAGTGAGTGCCAGGGGTGGCGCTGGAGGGAATGGGTGTTATGTTTCAAACAGAGTGGTAAGAAAAGGCCTCCCTGAGAAGCTGATTTGAAGACCTACAAGAGACAAATGAGTCCATGTATATATCTGGGGAAGAGCATTATGACAAAAGGAAGAAAACGGCCCTAGTGTAGAAGCATTCCCTGGACTTTGTTGACCACAGCGCTTTGAAAAATCTCTCAGACTGTGTATCACTCGCTCCTGGTTTGCGCTCTCCTTTCTAAATGTTTTTTCCAGTTTTCTAAATGTTCTTTTCCCCTTTTCCCCTCCTGTATCTTTTCCCTAGACAACCTCCTAACTGTTAGTATTCATCAGGGTTCCAACCACAACCTTTTTATACTTTCCCTAGGAGATCACATCAACTCACAGCTTCAACTATGCCTACATGGTCATGACCATAAATCTATTTATCATGTCCTGATTACTCCTTTGTCGATATCTTCAGTATTCACAATTATATTTCCAATTGCCCATTAGATATCTCCGTCTGGATACCCCACTGGTACTTCAAACAAAAAATGTGTATTTTCATGTATTCAAACTCAAAAGGTCTAAAACATGTATATTTTCATGTTCCTTATCTAGATTAATGGTATCTCTATTAATGGTATCCCATCTACCAGTCACCCATATTAGAAATGTTGAAGTTGCTCTCAAATGTCTTGCTGGCCAACTTAACCACCTTTCCTCCCACCCCGAGCCACAGTGTTCTCTTGATTTTACAATCGATTTTTTTTTTTTTACATTAATCTTACCATTTCCATCTTCTGGTGGATCTATTATGGTAATCTTCTACCTGGTCAGTGTCTGCCATGTTTACTTTTATATTCAAAGTAGCAAGGGGAGTACATTGTCTGCCCAAAGTGCTCAATAAATATTGAATAAAGAAAAGGTAACTACCTAGCAGATGAGCTATCACCTAACAATTTCTCTTGGGTTTTGTGTCTCAGGACCTCATAAAATTATAAGGCTTTAAAACCTACAAAAGAGCTTAGAAAGTAGCTATGCCTAAAGTGGTTTGTCTGAACTTCTCGATCTTTTTCAAAATTCTATACCTTCTGAAATAGCCCCCAAGCTATTGGTTTGTTTATATTTCCACTGTTTTCTTTCTCCTGGAATAATGTTTTAAACATTTCCTGGTTTTCTGCTTTTCTTCTTGTACAGAATATATTCGGTAGAGTGAATTTTATTTGCCAGAATTGCAGATTATTTTACAAATATTTATTGAACACTATTGTAGATCAGGTATAATGACTCTAGTTAGGGTTCTTAGAAGACAGTCCATTTTGTATGAATCCCAGGTTTCCATATTTTATTTTATTTTTTTTTTTTTTCCGTACCCATTATTTTTAATGTCCAGCGTTTAGAATACGAGGGCCAGAGCTCTCTCCCCACCTCAAGTTTATAAGTTTTCGATTGGCTTGTGAGGCCAGTAGGGATACTTCTTCTTGTCTAATTTGGTTTCTGGGAAGGCTTCATTCAGGTCCTCAATGGTCATCTGATCAAACGGAATTATGTTCCTTAGCTTCTCCAGCTGCTTTTCGTATTCCACAATCCTGGCCTTTGAGAGAGACAAAAACTCAGCACAACTTTTCACATCTTCTTTTTCTTCAGCGTCCACCTGAACAGTGTATTTATCCTCTGGCACAGGAATCTTCAGGGCACTGAACTTCTTCTCAAAGTCATCTACCAAGCCAGCCTTCGCCACATGGGCCTTGTAGTAAGCCCAGTCGATAGCAGGGGGTTTCTCCGGGAGAGTAGCCAACTTGGAGGTAAGTGTCTCATTCCAAGATTTCAGGGAGTTAGCAATGGCCTTCTGGTTTCGGGGTATGATCTCCCCAAAAGCTACCCAGTCAATGGTTTTTAGAGCAAGTTTTCGCCCAGCCATCTTGAGATCCTTCACCGACCCCGGCTGCCCAGCCCAGGTTTCCATATTTTAAACAAGAAATGTCCAAATAACATTTCAGAGCTCGTAAGTACAATTGTATATGAAACTTTTCACTTATAAGGTTTCACACTATGCACTGCGAGCCCACCAGAATTCACCACATATCCAGAATAAATTTCTCAGTTTTTAAAAAAGATTTATTTCTTCTGGGTGTGCATGTGTGTGTGTGTGTGTGTGTGTGTGAGAGAGAGAGAGAGAGAGAGAAATTGAGAATGGGGAGGGCGATAGAGAGAGAAAGAACCTCCAGCAGGCTCCACGTTCAGCAAAGAGCCCGTTGTGGGGCTGGATCTTATGACCCTGAGATCAGGACCTGAGCTGAGAGAGAGTCAGATGCTCAACAGACTGAGCCACCCAGGTTCCCCTAATTTCTCAGTTTTTAATGATCTCTTTCTATTTAACTCATAGTTCTCAAGTTTATATAATCAAAATTTTGGCTTAGATAAACAGTGGGAATTTTTAAGTAAAAAGTAATTTTCATCTTAAAATACTGCTTTGTAATTTCTAGTTAGCTTCCGAATTACATTAATGAAGAAAAAAAAAAGGAGGATACTAGAACACAGGACCATGGGGAGTCAAGGTAACCTATATATTTTCAGGGTTAAAAAAAAAACCCTCAAAGTACCACAAAGTCATATTGTTCTAGTTATCCCATTTTGAAGATTTCTGCCACTGTTGTGATTGAAGTTATTACATTTTGGTAACAGTTGCATACATAGATAATAAGAAAAAAGGTAACAATGTTAAATTTTTGTTATCTAAAATATTTTGATTATAATAATGCAATATTTATAATATAAATTATGATAATTTTAAATTTGAAGGTAAGAATTATATTTTCTACATCCTCTAAAGCACCTAATGTGAAAATACCAAAAAAAATATTGATGGCAAGGATGATGAAGAAACAGAGTAGTATGAATCTGTTTAAAAATTATGCAATCAAGTGAATTTAATGTGAATACTCAGTTTTTTTTTTTTAATTTTAAAAGATTTTATTTATTTATTTGATAGAAAGACCATAAGAGAAGCAGGCAGAGAGAGGGGGGAAGCAGGATCCCTGCTGAGCAGAGATCCGATGCAGGGCTCGATCCCAGGACCCTGAGACCATGACCTGAGCCGAAGGCAGAGGCTTAACCCAGTGAGCCACCCAGGTGCCCTGAGTGCTCAGTTTTAACATCTCATCATTTTTTCAAAACTGTGACAAAAAGATCAAGTGATCGGTGATTCTCTGGTCTGCTTAGCCCTGTAGTGGTAGTGGCGGCTGTTATATTCTGTGAATTAAGAGTGTCGTCCTCAGGGATCCCAGGGGCCCTGAATTTGTCCCAATAGTATAGTAAGCTCTCAGAGCCCAAAACTCTTTGAGGATTCATTTTCAGTACTGAAGTTCTGAATGAAACAAAAAGTCTGTGGAACATCTGTAAAATACACCCCTTTCTGGGTACCTGGGAGGCTCAGTCTGTTAAGCGTCTGCCTTTGGCTCAGGTCAGGATCTGGGAGTCCTGGAATTGAACCCTGCATCCAATAGTTGGGCTCCCTGCTCAGCCCATAAGTGTCTCTCAAATAAACAAACAAACAAAAAATTATACTCCTTCCTACCAAGAAATAGACAACTCGTGTCTATCCCAGATCCAGATGTTGAAACTGCATTGCAGAAACTCTAAGAATGGCCCCAAAGGCTTTGCTACCTTATGAAATGTTCTGAAGTGCAAAAATGTAGATCACAACACTCAGTGTGCTAAATATGGTGTGAGATAACAGAAAATATATATATTGATTTCGGCTCCCAGTTCCAGGCAGACAACTCCTGAAACTCTTAATTTCCTAAGTGATAAGAACACTAGGAGCATCTTTTGTTCTAATATTTGGTCTTTGACCTTGGTTCCTGACACAGGGCTCCTGAAACCTTTGCAATTTCCTGAGTTAAAGGAGCATTTTTTTTTTTTAAAGATTTTACTTATTTATTTGACAGAGAGATCACAAGTAGGCAGAGAGGCAGGCAGAGAGGGAGAAGCAGGCTCCCCACTGAGCAGAGAGCCCAATGCAGGGCTCGATCCCAGGACCCTGAGATTATGACCTGAGCTGAAGGCAGAGGCTTTAACCCACTGAGCCACCCAGGTGCCCCAGGGAGCATTTTTTTCTCTTAAAGAGACAACTCCAGGGTGACTGGGTGGCTCAGTCAGTTAAGTGCTATCTTCAGCTTGGGTCATGATCCTGGGATCCTTGGATGGAGCCCCACATTGGGCTCCCTGATCCTTGGGACTCTGCTTCTCCCACTGCCTTCCCCCAACCACCCCCTGCTTGTGCTCTCTCTCTTTCCCTCAAATAAATGAATAAAATTAAAAAAAAAAAAAAGGAGAGAGAGACAACTCCAGATGACCTGCATGAGGGCTGGTCACCAGAAAGACCAAGCCATGATTAGAAGCTAGGAATTTTCAATCCTGATCCCCATCCTCTTGAGCAGGGAGAAGTGCTGAAAATGGAGTTAATGATCTATCACAACTATGGGATGAAGCCTCCATAAAATTCCAAAGTACAGGGTTCAAAGGGCTTCTGGTTTGGTGAACACATCCACACTGGGAGGACAACGCACCCCACTTTGAAGAGACAGGAGCTTCTGAAGTTAGGGCCTTCCCAAATCTTGCCCTGAGTATCTTTTCATCTGGTTGTCATCCATAGCCTTTATCATATCCTTTAATAAACTTATATTTTATTTCATTTTTTTTTAAGATTTTTAATTTATTGATTTGACAGAGAGAAACACAGCAAGAGAGGGAACACAGGCAAGGGGGACTGGGAGAGAGAGAAGCAGTGCCAAGCAGGGAGCCCCACATGGGGCTTGATCTCAGGACCCTGGGATCAGGACCTGAGCCAAACGCAGATGCTTAACGAATGAACCACTCAGGCGCCCTTAAACTTGTGTTTTAAATAAACATAAGTAAATGTTTCCCTTAGTTCTGTGAGCACGTTAATAAAAAAAAAGAGACATGGGACCTCTGATTTATAGGCTGTGAGCTGGAAGTGCAGCTAACAACCTGGACTTGTGACTGGCATGTGAAACCTAAAGCAGGGGTTACTGGAATCTCTGACCTATAACTAGTTAGTCTTAGAAACACAGGTGATAACCTGGGCTTGCAACCAGCATCTGATGGGGGTGGGATGCAATCCTATGACGCTGAGCCCTTTACCTGTGGAATCTGATGCTATCTCCAGGTAGACAGTGTCAGAGTTGAGTTAAATTATAGGACACCCAGCTGGTGTTGGAGAATTGTTTATTAGCATGGGGGACAAAGCCACACATCAGGTGACCAGAAATGAAGTGTTCCATGTGAATGAATAGTAAAGGAGACTCACATGTGAAATACCCATAGTAGGAAAGAACTGTGTTTTAATCTATACAAGAGGAGAAAGATTGAGTTTCTCAAGTCATATAGCAAATGGATGATGTTGGCTTTAGTGGGCATCATAGGTACCTTCTCCCTACCTTCTTTGCTCTTCCCAGGATCCATCTAATTTACCTTGCCCTTTAGGACAGGTCAAAATATTCCATTTTATTCTGTCTCCAAGGAGCAGCACTCCCACATCATCTACAAGCTCCACAAAAACAGAAGTTCTATCTGACTCAGCATCCAGCATAGTACCTGGCCAGAGTGAGCACTCATACAGACTTTTTGAATAAATGAATAAAAGGCTACGAAAATCAACCTGTTCACAGAGCTGGGAGCAAGGCTGCCCCAGTCTTGGGATTACAAGGCTCTGGGGTCTGCATGGCTAGAGGTGAACCGTTTATTCTGTAGTCTGAGGCTAGATGGATCTAAGCCGATGGCGAACAACAGTCCTGCTCTAGGTACCTGGGCAAACTGCTCCACCTCTCCTTGTGGGCTGATACATACTGGAATGACTTTCTTCTAATTATAGTGATGAAACCTCAGATTCTGGCAGGGATTTGAAAGGCAAAAGTTTAGCCCTCTTTAGTTCTAGGCAGTGAGATCTCCCTGGGCTAGGCCCTTCTCCAGGTGCGAACCAGCTCCCTAAAATTTTGCAAAGTGACAAAGTATCCATTTTCTGGCCAATGCTCTGTGTGTTTATGTATCTCCCCTGGAGCGGAGGGGCAGCTAGTGGAAGACAAAATTCAGGAGTCAGAAACCTTTATCCCAGCCATTTATATTATTTATATAAAAATATCAATTAGCACCCAACTTTAACACAAATTAAATAAAATGAAAAAAGAGTTGAGTTAATCAAAACATGGCTTTACAGGGCGCCTGGGTGGCTCAGTTGGTTAAGCACCTGCCTTCAGCTCAGGTCCTGATCCTGGAGTCCCAGGATCAAGCCTGGTGGCTGGCTCCCTGCTCAGCAGGGAGTCTGCTTCTCCCTCTGCCCCTCCCCCTGCTTGTGCTCTGTCTCTCACTCTCTCTCAAATAAATAAATAAAATCTTGAAAAATAAAACAAAACATATGGCTTTAAGATTCCGGAAAAAAATCAGTACTATAATTACAGAGTTAAAATAAGACTATAATATCATAAGGCAAAAGTTATTTTTTAGAGATTTGGTATGAATTATTCTAACTTTGTCTTATTAAGATAAATAGTATATATACTTATAAGGCATTTACATTATCATAAAATACTGTATAATACTTACACCTTCTGCATACTGCAAGTATCGTTTATTAGTTTCCTGTTTACCAAATGTCTCCAAAAACTTCTGACGGTAAGCAAGAACTGTATCAACATGTGTTTTGTATTTTACAGCCAATTCAAGTGCCCTATAATGAGAAACAAAACAGATTACCAGCATTGCCTGTATTAGCATCATTACACAGTAGAGTTCTGGGATAAGACAGTGGGACAAATGGTCTATGTTGGTCCCTCCCCACTCATTCCTCAATATGGAACACACCATTCCCCACCTCACCCATCTTGCAAATTCCTACTTATACTTCAAATTCCTACTTACACTACTTATACTTCCAGGTTCAGATCAAACATGATCTCTTCTCCCTGATCAACTTCCTTTGCAGAAATAAATGACCATTTTCTTACTGTGTTCCATAACATTTTACGCATACTATTATTTCTACAGCACTACTTACAGTGCATTATTATTATTTATGAGTCTGTCTCTTCCATAACCTGTACATTTATTGAAGGGAAATTTAAGTTATATTTCTCTTTGGTGAGTACTCCAGAGCATATGTATGATCAATGTTCATTGAAAAATTCATTGAAATCATAATAAAATTCAAGTGAATGGACTTCCCCCCAATGTAAGTGGTTTAACTATCTTAACCATTTTTTAAGTCTATAATTTATTCTGTTCTAGAATTTATCTAAAGTCTAGAATTTATTCTGCTCAATATTCAGTTAAATACTGATATCCTTTATGTTATAACACAGCAAATTTAAAATATAAAACTAAAATTTGTGGATAATAAAAATCTGACAAATGCCTTTTGCCATTTGGTTCTTAGAAAAAGTTAATAGCCATTTAAAATTTATAATCCAATTAATATGTATCAATACTGTTCACTGTAATCTTGTTGTGTGTGCATTTTTTTAAAGATTTTATTTATTAGAGAGAGAGCAAGTGAGTGAGAGCATGAAAGGGAGGAGGGTTAGAGGGAGAAGCAGACTCCCGCGGAGCAGGGAGCCCGATGTAGGGCTCAATCCTGGGGTTCCAGGATCATGACCTGAGCTGAAGGCCAATCTCAACCGACTGAGCCACCCAGGTAACCTGTAATCTTTTTTCTAAGTATTATGTTAAAGCACATTCTTTTTCAAGTTCCCTTGTCTCCTAATATGACATATTACTTCTGAATAGGCCAGTCATGATTTATTTATCAGACGCAAATATTATAAATCTGTTCTTTTAGACAACAGTAACTACTGACTAGATTTTTTGCAACATGTGACCCTTCAGTAGGAAAATGTGTTTCATTTTTAGCATGCTTTGGTTTGGCCTAAATAGTCACTTTAAAAAGTATTTTAGATATGCCTTGTGCATTAATTGACAATTGGTAGACAATTGAGAGAAATATTAAAGACAATATAAAAATTACGAATATAAGTCATGTGTAATACAAACGATAATGCCAAAATTCAGCACAATGATTTCTTAAAAAATATATTTACATAAACCATATGGCTAACTCCAAGGATCAGTATTTGCTACCTCTCACAAACTCCTCACAATGTTCCCTCATTCCTCTGTGACTTTAAGTCTTTCAGAGAAAAAGAGAATACACAGAAAAGAATGTAGAAGTACCACAACATAGAGGAATGGAAGTGAAATGCAAGAAGGCAAAAACCAATTCACAAAGTCTCAAAAAATGAGCAGCAGAAATAAAGATGTTTTAATCCTTCTAATCCTTTCCCCTATCACCCTCTATATATCCCTAAGGCTCCATCTCCAGTGTGGATGTGTGAGTGGAGACTCTGGCGAACCAGCCCTTTGGCACCTGAAATATGCCATTTCCTGCTCCTTTTTTATGACTGAGCACAACTGGGGAAGGAATTTTTGTTGTGCCAAACCCGAAGTATTCCAAGTGGGGAATACGTAAGCATCTATTCTGGGTTGGGGCTTTTCAGAAAGAAAATTATCTCCAAAGAGGTAATTTGTTATGGAACATCAGTACATTTAATTATGTAGAAAAGATAGAATATGAGGTCTAATACTGCATTTAGATACTAGATGTTAAGTATTATCTATATGATAGTCATTATTACAAAATATGTATTATCTGATTGAAGAGCAATAGCTAATGGTAAACATTCAAATTATATATGCTATTTTAAATGTTCTCTAAAAGCATACACTGGGTAAAAAAAATGTTTCTTTATCACACAGAGGAGGGAATTCACTCCAAATTATATAAGGGTTATGGGAACAGCCTGTCTCTAGTTTTAAAATGGTTATTTGGCAACCAAACAAATGTGACATTAGATTATGGGGCTGGAATAAATCCATGTATCCTCTCTGATTTTAAATAGAAGGAAGTTATATAAAAAGATTTTATAACTTCAAAATATGATCTTTTATATAACTTGAATGAAGCAAAATCACTTTATATAACTGGTAGAAGTAGAAAAATTATTTTTTTTACTAATACTTACATAAAATTTATACCTCTCTTAACTTCAATTTTTGAGAACAGACTACCACCAAATGTCCAAAGTGAACATCAAATAGATGACTTGCTTACCTACAACTCTTTAAGGGTTGTAACCTATTAGGTTGCAGGTAATTTTCTTTTTCCTTTTTTGTTTTTTTAAGATTTTATTTATTCTTTTGAGACAGAGAGATACAGAGAGTGAGACAGCATGAGCGGGGGAGAGGCAGAGGGTAAGGGAGATGCAGAGTCCCCGCTGAGCCGGGAGCCTGATGTGGGGCTTGATCCCAGGACCCCAGGATCATGACCTGAGCCAAAGGCAGATGCTTAACCATCTGAGCCACCCTGGTTGCAGGTAATTTTCAAATTCAAATAGGAATGACAGAAATACAAACCAGCAGGACTGTACTTCTCAAATGGAATAACATATATTAACAAAATGAAATCTGTTCCCTTCTAAAGGACTTAAGTAAATATAGAAATTCAGGGATCGCAAAAGCAATGTAATATATTTTTCATCCAATACTTAAATTCTATCCTTCTAGAATTCTAATTAATTAATGGATCTGGGTAATGATCAACAGAAAAAGACAGGCAACCAGTCACTGTGAAAATATATTGAATACCACCTCTGACTGAGCTTTACCAAAAGGAAAAAAAAAGTTAAACTCGAATCTAATCAAGTTTCTAGATTCAACACCAATATGGCTAATTCAAGGGGCAAAGGAACATGTCAAATGACACCACAAAGATGTAATCAACAGAATCCAGACTATGGGAAAACTCTATTGGCCCAGCTTCTGCAGTGGGAAAATTACAAGAAAACACAAGAAAAAGGAAAACCTATTAAGATGAAAAGAAACTTGAGAACACATCAATCAATCATAAGGTATGGACCTTTTCTGGATCCTGAACAAAACAAACCATAAAACAAATCAAAACATTCATGAGACAATCAAAGAAATAAGAACACTGAATAGAATTATTGTTAATTCTTTAAAATGTGACCATGTACTGTGGCTAGATTTTTAAAAACCTTTGGATACATACTGAAATATTTACAGATAAAGTGATCTGATTACTGGGATCTGCTTTTAAAAAAATAGTAGGGTAGAGGTTGAGACAGACAAGATGATGAAAGACATTTCAAACCTGGAAAAATCAGCATGCCAATTTTATAATGTAATTTCAGGTGTATATAAACCCTATAGCTTTTTTTTTACTGAGAGACATATCTGAGAGAATGACCTAATATGTCAGAGAGAAGAAGCATGCCACTTTGTTTTGAAAGCAATCTGTGTTGAAGCCTAATGCAGAGAAGGCTACTACTGTGTACTCCTCATTTCAAATCCTACTGCCTTTCTTCCTTAGCATCACAAATCTCTCATGGTTGTACTTCTCCCTGCCAGTATGACTGCTTCATCCCAGTTTTTCAGCAGATTTCTCCTCTTTCGCCCATCCCATAAATGTAGTTGATGTCTTCTCACTCTACACATTTCCCAAGCAATTGCATCCATTCTTCTGCCTTTAATTGCTATCCACTTGCTGATGACTCCTAAAAATCTACAACCCCAGTTCAAATCTATCTCCTGAGCTCCAAGTTCACTAATCAACGATTATCACATCTCTATCTCCTCACAAATATTTCAAATCCAACATGCCTAACACTGAATTCACTATTTTCCCTTCCAAATCCACTAATAATACCATCATCTATCCAGTTACTGAAGTCAGAAATTCGGGAGACATCCTAGCCTCTCTTTTCTTCTTCACACTTCAACTTCTAATTAATCGCAAGTTTAGAGAAGGCATAAATCTTCAATGGCAAACTCCTCACAAACAGAAATGTGAATAAATTCTTCTGTGATGTTAAGAAAACTATTAAGTACAGTGGAAAATGTAATTTTCCAAGTGGTAGATATAAGAATATATTAAGATCAGTTGGGTTTTAGAATTGATGAAAAACATTTTTATTACCTTTCCCAGTTATAGAGATTGATATTGATCTGGATTGCTTGATAAACAAGGCCAGCCTGAAGAAGTATCATTTCAGCCTCCTGTATGTTCCCACTAAGCATTAATATGTGAGCCATTTTTGATTCTTTAGATGGAAGCTCTTTTATAGAATTAATATACCGAACCTTATCAATCTAAAGAAAGAAAACAATAGATGAAGTGGGTAGTGACAGCAATGTAACAAATTATGGTAAGAAAAACCAAAAACATACAGATAAATGAACATTATTTACTTCACCAATTGCTGCATAGGCTATTTCTGCAGTGGTCATATCTCTGTTAGCAACTGCCATAGCAGCTAGGCAAGCCCACATGGTTTGCTCCTAAAGTAAAGCAGGAGAACAATTATTTCAAAGACGAGCAGAACTGCCTTAAAATAAGCAATGATTTAAAATACATTAAAGTTGCTTTTTAATGAAAAAATTAAACTTTGCTGAGCATGGCACTGAAAAAACTACTGATTTAATTAATGATGTGAAAATTACATGTGACTACTTTGTTGAAATATGTTAATAACACATAAAGAACTTCTTTTGAATAAAATTTCTGCAAATTTTCATTTCTAATTATCAAAGATTTATTTTTGAACTTCTGACATACTTTTAAGATAATTAAGGGTTATAAGCCCTCCAGTCTTTTTGATGAGGTCAAAGAATTTAACTTACAAGGAACCAGAGAAATAGGTTCTCAGACGATGCTATTATCGCAGATTGCCATCAACAACTCATTGTAAGGGAAAGCATCTAAAAGTCATTTTAAAAGTGTATTCTAAGGGCTGCTAAGCCATGTAAAATTAAAAAGTTCTGTGGTCAAATATGCTTGAAAAAACTGGATTCAACCAAGCTGGAAACTGCTGATCTAAAGTAGAGGTTCTTAACCTTAGGTGTACAAACCATCTGAGGAATTAAAAAATATGCCTAGGATTCATCCCTGATCGAATAAATTAAAATCTTTGTGGGGGTAAAACTTGGGAATCTGACTTTTTAGAAAGAGTTCCAGAGAAGATTTTTGTATGTGCCAGTATAGAGAAACTACTCATTTAAATTATAGCTTCTTCCAAAATAAATCACACAGCAGTATCTATCCCCTTGTATTGCTTATGTTTTCACTTATTAAAAAGACCCATGATCTCATTTGCAATTTTTCCAGCCCTTAGATGTTATCATTTCTTATCTAGCACAAAGACATATGTAAATATGCAACATATACACAATTAGGGATCTAAAATGTAAAGTACCTTAACAAAGCGACAAAGTCTTACAGCATCTTCCCATTTTGAACTGCTTACATATTCATGGAGAATAGCAGGATATGGTGATATGCTGATGTGAACCAGTGAGCCATCAGCTCTTCTTATAGTTACTTGATTTCCAACAAAACTCACAATATGGGGATTTTTACTAAATTCACTGTTGGAAAAAAGCAAAGTATAATTTATGTTCTGAGCAAAATCTTTCATATACACTAAATTTGGGAAGTTAACCCTTGATACAGATATAAAGTCTCCAAATCTCCAAAATTCACCCCCAAAAATGTTAACTCTAGGTAGAATGTATATATTTAAACAAACATTTGAATCTAACTTGCCATACACTTGGAACAAGACATAGAAGTTTAATTTGGCAAAAATTATTACATATTTGAGATACTGGCACAAAAATAAGACATGCAGATCAGTAGAACAGAGTAGAAAGCCCAGATATAGACCATAAACTCTATGGTCAAATAATCTTTAACAAAGCAGAAGAAAATATCCAGTGGAAAAAAGACAGTCTCTTCAATAAATGGTGCTGGGAAAATTGGACAGCTATGTATAGAAGAAGGAAACTCGACCATTCTCTTACACCATATACAAAGATAAACTCAAAGTGGATAAAAGACCTCAACATGAGGAAAAATCTATCAAAATGCTAGAGGAGAACATAGGCAGTAACCTCTTTGACATCGGCCACAGCAACTTCTTTCAAGACATTTCTCCAAAGGCAAAAGGAAACAAAAGCGAAAATGAACATTTGGAACTTGATCAAGATCAAAAGCTTCTGCACAGCAAAGCAAACAGTCAACAAAACAAAGAGGTAACCCACGGAATGGGAGAAGATATTTGCAAATGACACTATAGACAAAGGGCTGATATCCAAGATCTATACAGAACTCCTCAAACTCAACACTCAAAAAACGGATAATCTTGTCAAAAAATGGGCAGAAGACATGAACAAACACCTCCAAAGAAGACATGCAAATGGCTAATAGACACATGAAAAAATGTTCATCATTATTAGCCATCAGGGAGATTCAAATCAAAACCACATTGAGATACGACCTTACACCAGTTAGAATGGCCAAAATTAACAAGACAGTAAACAACAAGTGTTGGAAAGAATGTGGAGAAAGGGGAACCCTCTTACACTGTTGGTGGGAATGCAAGCTGGTGCAGCCACTTTGGAAAACAGTGTGGAGGTTTCTTAAAAAATCAAAAATAGAGCTACCCTATGATCCTGCAATTGCACTACTGGGTATTTACCCCAAAGATAACAGATGTAGTGAAAAGAAGGGCCATCTGTATCCCAATGTTCATAGCAGCAATGGCCACAGTTGCCAAACTGTGGAAAGAGCCAAGATGCCCTTCAACAGATGAATGGATAAAGAAGATATGGTCCATATATATAATGGAGTATTATGCCTCCATCAGAAAGGATGAATACCCAACTTTTGTATCAACATGGACAGGACTGGAGGAGATTACACTGAGTGAAATAAGTCAAGGAGAGAGAGTCACTTACTTGTAGTTTCACTTACTTGTGGAGCATAAGGAAAAACACGGAGGACGTTGGGAGATGGGAGAAGAGAAGTGAGTTGGGAGAAATTGGAAGGGGAGACGAACCATGAGAGACTGTGGACTCTGAGAAACAAACTGAGGGTTTTGGAGGGGAGAGGGTAGGGAGTTGGGTGAGCCTGGTGGTGGGTATTAAGGAGGGCACGTATTGCATGGAGCACTGGGTGTGGTGCATAAACAATGAATCTTGGAACACTGAAAAAATAAAATTAAATTTAAAAAATAAAAAGAAATGGCAATTTACAAATGAGTTAGGAGGAATTTTTAAGCAGTGCGTCATGACTACTAACTAACAGGGACAAAATAGCCAATCGTTTATCTAGGGAGTTCTGGAACCTCTATCCCCAGAAGTGTTTTAACATCAACCTGATAAACAGTAAAAGATTACTGTGAAATATCATTGAAAGTGGAGGTAGATTGGGGGGAAAAAAATCTCAGGAATCCCTCTCAAGCTCATTAGTACATAATTTCCCCCTCATTTGTTGGTCATGGAAAATGACGAGTTTTAAAATCCTTCCTAATTTTCATTTTGTTTTATTTCTGTCCTCATTTTCACAAATTGTAATGTGATGTAATATGATATAATACTGGTGAAACGCACAGAATTCGTTAAAAAAAAATTATTATGTATTTGAGAGCTATGCTTAAAAGCATTTGAAATAATCTTTATCCCCCCAAAGTCTTAAGGTAAATTACACAAATGTTTAAAAATCTCGGCATTCACTTTTGAAAGCATAAACCAATAAAAAATTAAGATGATTCCAAGGCTATTTCTCTTAATAAAAAGAGATGAACTTCAAGAGACTAACTTCTCTTCATTAGTTTAAATACTTTTAAAATGATCCTCTCTGGTTTTGCTAAAGTTATGAACTGAATATTAAAATGAACTCAGAATAGATTTGAAAGTTAAGCTAAGGTTTGGAGCTAAGAAGCTTTGTATTCTTATTTTGTCAAGAGTGAGAGATCTTGTTATTTCTTAGAGAATTTAGAAATATACATGTATTTTCTTAAGCCTGTAATATTAAAAAAAAAACTCTTCAGTAGCCTTATATAGTTTTTCTATCTTTAATATTAATTTAAAAATTCAATTCTAGAAACACATACAGTCCTGTAAGTATGATAATAATTTATAATTTATGATAATCTGAGAAAGAATAAAGGTTGACACATTTTTTATATCACTGAAAAATCTTAACAATGTCCATATTAAAACCACTAAAACACATCGAAAAAAACTATCTGAGTTACATTAAACAACCTCAGGCTTGAAAATTATATAAGGAAAACTATATCCATAGAAGGAACAAATAAATATAATAGTATTATACAATACTTTCAAATTGACCCCAACACTTAAAACTCATTAAGCTAGCATTAGCTAAGCAATTTCATTGAGTAGATTGAAAGGTACCTTGCGGGATTGAAATTAGGGGCAAAAACATGACACTGTAGAGTTATTTATCACAACAAACAATTCCATCAGTAAAATGTTACCTTGCATCCCTTTCAAATAATGTTTTAGGCAAAATGTCTCTGTCCACATAAACCGTATTGGGGTAATACCACACTGTAAATCGAGTATCTTGAAGTCCACAAAGGATATTACATGTATCACTCCAGGCCAAAGTATGCACCATTGTTCCTTATTTTAAAAAGAATGTTAAGGTACTATTAGTTCCACTACAGTAAGTATTAAAAATACTTTAAAAATAAACTGACATACAGGACCCCTTCTAATTTCGGTAGGTATGACTATATTTTCCGATCATTTAATGGTGCAAATGTGCAAAAATTCATTTAAAAATGTATGGAAATATTTGAGTATTTTATCTAGAACCATTATGTTTCAATTTATAAGTATTTCTTTCAATGCTAATGTAGCTGTAGCAGCTAAAGACTTGCTATTTAAGTGGTGTTAAGTAGTTAAGAAAGGTTATACCAAAGCATTATTCACAGATTAATTCAAGCAAGTATGCTACTTAGTATAAATATGACAGAGTAGATTCAAGAAAATTCAAAGTAATCAAATTTTAAATGTATTATAATTATTTTACCAAGTTTGATAATTTGTTCTTCCTTCCCAAATCGTTTCACTGAAGTGATATAGAGATCTCTATTTTTATCAATGAAGGCAATTTTTCTATCATTGGTAAGTCCCTTTTGATCCAGAGCAATTTCCAAAATTTCATTCTAAAATTTAGAAAAATGAAAATACTGGATTAGTATTAGTGCTTGACATCAGATCATTTAAATTATTTAATTACAAGAACATCTGTTTATTTAAAGATCAATTAAATATCACTCCCTACTTGGAATGATAAAATGTCCCTGTTGTAATTTTAAACTACTGGTATAACTCAAAAACTAAAGCAAGGTTACTTTGTTTTTTTAATTTACAAGGGAAAGATGCCCCTTAAAACACTATAAATAATGGGTATTTGTTTAAAACTTCATAAGCTGGGAAACATTTCTTTTTCTTTAAAATGTGTTTATTTATTTATTAGAGAGAGAGTGTGCATACCAGTGGGGGAAGGGGGAAAGGGAGAGAATCATCAGGCAGACTCCCGGTTGAGCATGGAGCCCAACTTCATTCAGTGAGGAGGTGGGGCTCAGCCCTATGACCCAAGAAATAATGACCTGAGCCAAAACCCAGTCAGATGCTCAGCTCAACCAACGAGCCACCAAGATGCCCCATGCTGAGAAACTTTTCTATCTGTCCTCCTGTTCTACCTTTAGTAGAACAAGGGTGAGGCAAGTCTGAATATCACAAGAGAGATCTACTTTAATTAATACATTCCATAACAAAATTTACTCTAAATAGAAAGCCTATATTTTAAAAGATTTTTAAGAGTCGATTCATGAAAATATCTTATGTTTTTAGGGTTTTAGATTTTACACATTCTTTCATATTTCCTGTGAAACAGGAAACTACCTTGTATTGTAGATACAAGGAACTATACTATACAAGGTACAAGGTACTTTACCTTGTAAAGTAAGTATTCCTATACTTACTCTATAGACAAGAAGACTAACATGTATAGCCATTAAGTGATTTCGCTCAGAAAAACTAGTGACAAGCATATCCAGAATTTAAAATTCAGATTTCTGACTTTAAGATTAGTGTTCTGTCCTTATAACAAAGTATTTCTGTCATACTGCATTATCTTACACTATTACACTAGCTAGTGAAAGGACTTTCCTTATATGGTTCAGTGTGGATTCATTTCAACTGAATCCAAGAGGGATTTATTTACTGCTTACTGTCTTAAGACTTGTTAAGACTTTTTTAATTTTTTTAGACTTGCTAGGATTTATTTTGGGTTTTTTTGAAGGTATAATAGAACCTTAAATGTCCCATCATTTGGACACAGTTCAAATAAATTGATACACCCATAAAATGTTATACCGTATGGTGAGGGGAAAAGGATTGGGAAAGTACTTTATGTACTGATACAGAAAGATCTCCAGGAACAGTTTATGTGAGAAAAGCAATGTACAGAGTTGTATGTCACATTTTTGTAAAAGAGGGGGAAAAGAACATATATCAGTTTTGTTTATATATATGCACTAAAAAGATCTCTGGAAGGAAAATAGAGTTTAATAATGGTAATTACTGGGCACCTGGATGGCTCAGTGGGTTAAGTCCCTGCCTCAGGGTCCTGGGATCAAGTCCTGCATCGGGCTCTCTGCTTGGCAGGGAGCCTGCTTCCTCCTCTCTCTCTGCCTGCCTCTCTGCCTACTTGTGATCTCTCTCTGTCAAATAAATAAATAAAATCTTACAAAAAAAATAATGCTTGTTACTTATTTGGTGGAACAGAATTGTACCGATAAGAAATAAGTGTAGTAGGGAGACTTTTTCCCCTGTATACTTTTTTATGCTTTTTCATTTCTGAACCTTATGAATTTACTTGTTATTCAAACTCAAACTAATAATTACAAAAAGAGGAAAATAAAATATAGACTAATGCTTCACTAGTGGCATTGAACAATAAAGTTAAAAACATATCTAAACCTGAATATATCTCTTATTAGAATAAATAAAATGTGCTCCTTTATTTTAATGCTAAAAATCAAAAACCAATAAGCAACTTCAAGATCTTTTTGTCCTTCTATAGAATTTTTTTTTTCAGTTTAACTATAGTGTTAAAACCTAAAAGAAAATGCTGGCTAAGGACTGGTCAGTGGTAAAACTGCAAGTTGTTTAGAAAAACAAAACATTTTTATTTACTGATAAGTACTAAAAATTTAATCAAAGTAGAACATTTTATTAAAAGCAGTAAATAGCCTTAATAAAGACATATAAATCAGATTATTTTATCCATTTAATTTGTATATATAGCTTTCCATTACAGAGTTTACTAGTGTTCAGTCTTTGTGACATTTTTAGGCAAAATACTCTAGTAGAATGCAACTGAGTTTAAATATAAAACTAATTTCTAGGGGTGCCTTGCTGGTTCATTCAGAAGAGCATGCAACTCTTGATCTTGGGGTCATGAGTTCAAGCCCCATGTGGGGTTATAAAGATTACTTAAAAATGAATAAATAAATTAAAACTTAAAAAATAAAAATAAAGTGGAGGATGAAGCAATTATTACAGATAACTCTTAAAAATTAATTTCTATGTTTTTTGACTTAAAATGAAAACATTAATTTTAAAAAGGAAGTAAATAAATAGTGGCTATTTACATTAGAAGTAGCTAATGTCCATTACCTTATGAGAAAGAAGCTTCCCATCGCCTAATGGTTTTCCAGTTGATGCCTCAAAAAGGAAGATTACTTGAAAAAAAAAATTAAGCATTTGTTAACGTATTAAATTAGAATTTTTATCGGTAAACTTCAGTGTATTATTATATCCTGATGAGAAATTATTTAACCCTTTGGACCATAGAGTATCTATCAGCATAGAAGAGCAGCAGCATCAAATTCCTACTTATCAATGGGGTTATATTTCTTAAAAAACGGTGGAACTGAATACTTCTTCCTAAAACATATTCCCTACTTAGAATAGTTATTAATGTAATGGTATGGCTTCACTCCTCCGTAAGATCTACAATGGCAAGTCCAAATCTAGATGTAATTTGTAATTTTCAGAACTCTGATTTGGACGAATATAACATCATACAATCATACTTCACAAAAGAAAAATGTGCCAAGTGTCTACTATAATACCAGGCAATGTGTCATGTACTGTTTAATTCCCTGGGGTCAGTGCACAGTTCCCTGTGGTATAATTAGTAGTTTGTCTGGTTTTTGTCCTTGGTTCCTTGCAGGGACCTTGAACAACCCTTGGAATTTCCTGAGTGATTAGGAATGTCTTAGTTATACTGGTGGGGAGACTCTTGGTGAGCCCCTACATAGCTTCAGAATAGGAGATGGTCATCAGAAAGCCTAAGCATATTCAGTTCTCTGACCTCTGGAGATAGGGAGATTGGGGGATTGGATATTGAGTTCAATCATGTGGCCAATAATTTAATTAATCATGCCCATGTAATAAAAATCCCATAAAAACTCAGGGTTGCTTCCTCATTGGTGAACATACTGATATACTGGGAGGGTGATGTGCCCTGATTTCATGAGAAGGCATAAAAGTTCTGTGTTCCTTCCCAGGCCTCGCCCTATGTGTATCCTTTATAATAAAACTATAATTCTAAGTAGAGCATCTTCCTGAGATCTGTGAGTCATTTTTAGCAAATTATCCAACTTGAGGGGACCACCGGAGTCCCTGAATTTGTAGCCAGTCAGTCAGCAAAATAGGTTGGTCTGGGGCTCCCTGAAGCTTGTGGCTAGTGTCTGAAGTGAGGGAAGTCTTGAGGAGAACTTTGCCTTTAAGCCCTGGGGTCTGTCCTAACTCCAGGTTGTTAGTATTAGAAATGACTGCAATATACCAGTTAAGGTAAAAATGGAATAGTAGGTGTCAGGAAGGGTGAGAATCACTGCAACAACCCTAACTCACTGAAAAATGCGGTCTGGGAAGAGAAAGGATGAAAGAACAAGGGATGAGGAACCTCTGTCTCTTAAAGGCAGCAGGATCACCCATGGTGTGAAACAGCAGCTAAGCTGCAATTAGCTGTGAGAGGTAAAAGTTACCTATGGAATTTTGAGATGATGGAGCCATCTCCTGGGAAGCTGGCTCACTAAATGCATAAGAAAATGCAAAATAATATGAAAAAGAGAAAATATACAATCCCATGGTTATTATAATCTGTAACAGATAAAATGAAAGTAAGAGATAGGCCAAATATAGATTCTGGACAGTCTCAATTACAGCTTCTGGTTCCAAGGCTCCCACTGAAAGAGTATGTTGGAGAAAATCCTGATTCTGGTTAGCCTGAGGTATAGTGACCATCCTTAAGACTTCCCAAGGAAAAAGTTATGCTAAAAAAAATCATGAAAAAGGCTAAAATGATTAGAGATAGACAGAGAGGAGCATCAAGGGCCTCATCCCAGCTAGGTGAAAATCTAAGAAACGGGATGAATAAAGCAAACATTGATGGGGTAAACAAAACAAAACAAAACACAGAGGTTGGATGAACCAATGGGAAATCACTGCTGGTCACCTAACATTGAAGGCCTTTAAACAAATCTGCTCTATTCATCCTAGTTTGGAGGAATTTGGAAAGCTACATGGCAAGAGAGCAAAAAGAAACCTCACCTCCAATTGCCTGGGGCTATGGTTCCCCAATTTAATTAAGAGATGGATTGATGAAAGGGTTTCTTGGCTCAACACTCTACTGGGGACACAAGGCCTTATGCACAGGAGTATGTAAAATGGCCAGGGAGCAGAAGAGAGAAGTTTCTAGGACCTCTTGTTATGAGAGTCCCATGCACTGTGGTACCAAAACCCACTGGTGAAGTTCTAGTGAGGAGTAAAATTAAATTGGGAGAACAGAGAAAAGCAAGGGTTAACATGAGTAAAGTGAAGCTTGGATGAAAATTGGAGTGTTTAAATGGGCTTCATGTGAAAAGGCTGTGTCTCCTTTACTTGAATGCTTAATGGGATTGGATATTATGTCTGACTGAGGAATCCTTCCACTACCAAGTGCTGTAAAACAAAAACCTGTTGGCAAAGTCCTACTGGTGGTCAATTAGATTGAGAGATAAGAGAATACAAGAACTAATGGGATTAAGATGAACATTTAAATGAAAGTACACTTGAAGAAGCTTCATATGAAGCAGTTGTGTCTCTTTTACCTGTATGTACTATAAGGATAGATATTGTGCCTAGCTGGGGAATGTTTCCCCTATCAAATATTGTAAAACAAAAGGCATGAAAAATCCACCTCTCCAACAATATTAACTAGACATACAAAATGGGAACCAATGAGACTGCCTGAACATAGAGGCCTTATACCAAATGGTACCAAAAAGAAGCTGGAGTGCTAATAAAGATACATTCTCTGTACAGCAGTCTCTGTGGAGCGTAGACTGGGGGGTGTGGGAGCACTTCCCAGTGATAGCTACTGGAACTCTATACAAGACAATTTCCATTTGGAGGGGCAATGACTAGCTTGCTACCAGACACTAATTGAAATTGCCTCTGACTGAAAACCATAAAATAAGGATATCTTGGGTGATGTCAGAGAAATGCTCTAAGAGGAAGGCAGCGCCCAGGAGATTCTGTCATAGAACAGAAATGGTCTGAGCAGGAACACACCATCAGGGCAACGCATAGAGTTCCAGAGCATGTTCATGAGCAGGTAGCCTGTCTTCCCCAGGATTGACTCTGGAACCACGTGAGGACCTGCAGGATTCTAGCATCACTCGCACAGAGCCTGTTAACAGCTCTCACCAGACCAATAAACAGCTGCTTGGCTTATGGACGGCAGTTCCAACGTGAACACAAGACACTCGGTTTGGAAGGCCACCACTCGGATCGAAAAAGGTAAAAACAAATTGGCTCAGCAAGCTGCACTGCACGCTGTTTACCGTTATGTCTGGATTTTGACCTACTCACAGGCACTGGAATGGCCTGGCCATACGGTGTGGTGGATGGGCAGTGGAAGACTGGACTACGAACGGGGTGCTCTTCCGAGGCATGGCCATATGGAAATCACTGTGGAAATCTGAAGGGTACATTCAAACAGGCCATATCAATGCCCATCAGAAGAACCCCTTTTCAGCATCAGAAGATGTTTACAAATGGTGAGCAGACACCCAGGTGTGCCACTTGAGGTAGCCACGGGGTTAATCAAGTGAGTGGACTCAAACAATGCAGAGAGGGGTTGACTCTAGACATATTCCTTTTGCATCCGTGGAGGCACAAAATGCCAACAGGAACTGTTCTGTCTGCCAACAAGAGAGATTTAGGGACTGCAGATGGCTATGGGGAAGATGCTCTGCAGGGAGTCCTGGTGCACAACAGCAAGTCTGACTGATGCCTGGAGCACTGGGGGCTACAAGTAGGTCCTGACAGAAATGGACATTGACTCTTGGCTGAGCTTTGCTTACCCGATGGTAGAGGCAAAGGTTCAGAGTACTATAGAAGAACCGGAGTAGAAGGTATTGCGCTGATCTGGACCACTGAGTCACATTTCTTCAGACCAAGGAACATACTTTACAACCCATCATGCCCAACAATGGGCAGAGAGATCCTTTCTGAGAGTAATAGTGTGGTAAAGAATTAGAATGGGCAATGAAAACAATGGTTATTTAAAATGGGGAGAAAAGTAATATAGGCATGAAGAACTAGCTTACAAGACTTCATGAGTGGGTACTGACACTCAACATGAAGGGAGCAAAGGGTGTGTTCACACTAGATAAATTCCTCTGCAGTTTCAGAGGAAATAAGGAATAGGGGGTGAGGAAGATGCTAGCATGACTATGCAGTTATTCCCACAAAAGGAGAATGCTGGTATGATGGCTATACTTTTTCCTTTCTTTCCCATATCACCTCAAATTTCTTCTTTTTATTAGATACAATGGTCTCAGGACCAAGGTTACAACTACAATTATCAGAAGCAGAGATGATTCCTAGGCAAGAAACTATCTGTACTTTCAACTTTGAGGTCAGAATTTCCGAGGACCTGATGGAATGGGTTGTGCTCCCACTCCAGCTGGTAAATATAAGGTTAAATGTGAATGCAGCTATCCTGCCCAGTAGTAGAGACAGCCCACTAGTTCTTTACAAATGGAGAGAAGGAGAAATAGTACCTGAGAATAAAAGAATGACTAAATGGGTATGCAATGGAGGAAAACCAGTATTTCATTAATGCTTCAGAAGAGTCTCCAAGCAAAAGCTGATATTATTTGTTTTTCAAGTATAGTTAGCATACAGTGTTATATTTAGTTTCGAAGAAATAAATAAAAACTTTAAAACTGATATTATTTCTTAGCTCAAGTATACCAGATACCTAAAAAGGTGAAGCCAAGGAGCACCTGGGTGGTGCAGGTGATTAAGCATCTGACTCTTAGTTTTGGCACAGGTCCTGCTCTCATGGTTCATGAGATCGAGCCCTGCTTTGGTCTCTGCACTCAGTGTAGGGTCTGCTTGGGATTCTCTCTCCTTCTCCCTCTGCCCCTCCAACTTGTGTTCTCTCTCCCTTAAAAAAAATTAATAAACCTTTAAAAATTAAAAAAAAATGAAATAAATAGAAAGGCGAAGCCAACAGACACTCATTTCAGACCTAAAGACACATGCACATTGAAAGTGAAGAGATGGAAAAAAAATTTATGATGAAAAAGGAAGTGAAAAGAAAGCTGGGGTAGCAACACTTATATCAAACAAAATAAAGTTTTAAAAAAGACTGTAACAAGAGACAAAGAGACATTACTACATATATTACTACATTATGCTACATATGTACATTATTACATAATGATAAGGGAACAATCCAACAAGAAGATATAACAATTGTAAATATTTTAAAAAATTGTAAATATTTATGCACCTAACCTGGGAGCACTCAAATACATAAAGCAGCTATTAATAGACACAAAGGAAAAAATTGATAGTAATACAATAATAGTGGGGGACTTTAACACCTCACTTACATTAATGGATAGATCATCCAGATAGAAAATCAACAAGGTAACAGTAGCTTTGAACAACATATTGAACCTGATGAATGTAACAAATATATTCAGAAGATTTCCATCCAAAAAAACAGCAGAATACACATTCTTTTCAAGTGTTCATGGAACATTCTCCAGAATAGATCATATGTTAAGCCATAAAACAAGTCTCAACAAATTAAACAGGACTGAAATCATATCATGCATCTTTTCCAATGACAATGATATAAAACTAGAAATTAATCAGAAAAAAAAATCTGGAAAGAACACAAAGAAATGGAGGTTAAATAGCATGTGACTAAATAATGAATGAGTCAACTAAGAAGTCAAAGAGAAAATAAAAAAATACATAGAGACAAATGAAAATACAATGGTCAAAATCTTTGGGATGCAACAAAAACTGTCCTAAGGGGTAAGATTATAACAGTATAGGCCTACCTCAAGAAGCAAGAAAAATCTCAAACAACCTAACCTGACATAGAAAGGAGCTAGGAAAAAAATAAATGAGCAAAGCCCAAAGCCTGTAGAAGGAAAGAAATAATAAAGATTAGAGAATAAATATATGAAATCAAGTCTAAAAAAAAAAAAAACAAAAAAAACCAATAGAACAGACCAATGAAACCAGGAACTGGTTCTTTGAAAAGATCAACAAAATTGATAAACCTTTAGTCAGACTCATTTAAAAAAAAAAAAAAAGAAAGAAAGAAAGAGAGAGAAGATTGAAATAAATCAGAAATGAAAGAGAAATAACAAGTGACACTACAGAAATACAAAGATTATTAGAGAATATTATGAAAAATTATATGTCAAAGATTGAACAACCTAGAAGAGAGGATCAATTCCTAGAAACATATAACCTCCCAAAACTAAAGCTGGAAGAAAGAGAAAACTTGAATAAACTGATTAATAGCCATGAACTTGAATCAGTAATCAAAAAACTCCCCCAAACCAAAAGTCCAGGACCAGATGGCTTCACAGGTAAATTCTACCAAACACTTAAAGGTTGTTAATACCTATTCTTCTCGAACAATTAATAAAAAATAGAAGAGGAAGAAAAGATTCCAAATTGACTCTATGAGTTCAGCATTATCTTGATACCAAAAACAAACAAAGACACTACCAAAAAAAGAGTACAGGCCAATATCTCTGATGAACATAGATGCAAAATTCCTCAACAAAATATTGGCAAACTGAATCCAACAATACATTAAAAAAATTATTCACCACAATCAAGTGGGATGTATTCCAGGGATGTCAGGGTGGCTCAATATTTGCAAATCAATCGATGGAAACCACATTAACAAGAGAGAGAATAAAAACTCTATGATCATTTCAATAGATGCAGAAAAAGCATTTGACAAACTACAACATCCATTCATAATAAGCTCTCAATGAAGTAAGTTTAGAAGGAAAATAACTCAACATAATAAAGGCCACATAGGAAAAAAACACTGGCTAACATTACTTATTTTAGAGAGAGAATACACTGAGTGTGGAGGGGGCCGAGGGAGTGAGAGAGAATCTCAAGCAGACTTCGTGCTGAGCACGGAGCCTGAGGCAGGGCTCAATCTGAAAACCCTGAGATCATGACCTGAACTGAAATCAAGAGTCAGACACTTAAGCAACTGAGCCACAGGAGCCCCCAAACCAGAAGCTTTTTTAAAGATAAAAGCATTCCATCCTTTTGCCGACTGCACATATTATAAAGAGATGGAGGTATAGGGATAGATTTGTCTACTTCTTCTTTAACTAACTGTAAGTGGCCATGAACTATGGGAGGCTTGGATCTGTATTTTAGTGCTGGTATGTGGCAAAAACTGGTAGAAAGAACAACCAAGGAGCTGCCAGCCTGAAAGAGCTGCTTCTAAACATAAGAAACTGCTCTCTAACTTCTCTCCCCATACCCAGATATTTGTTCCAAATAGCCACCCACACTAATATCATAGCGTATCTGTGCAAGTGTTTAAGGAGAAGGAAGCCAAAAGCACTAGTACCTCTATTCTTAATTGGTCACCCAAAGTGGTAGAATACTGTACTCAGTGCAAGAATCCTACTTATAAAGGAGCTCCCAAATTAGGAAGGAACCACTGGTTTCATATGGAATGGTCCCCCCACTTGAAGGAACATTTCATAAGTTAATGATTCTATGTACTTCAATTTGTTTTCTACTGTTAGCATACACCTCTATTTAGCCATCAATGAATACTAGTTTCTTTTAAAAGGAACATATGAAAAATATGTTCCTGCTCATTTTATATCAGTTGACAACAATAATTTTATTCAGGTCTTTTTGATTTTCTGTTTACAGCAAAACAGAATTGCATGATCATCTTCAACAATCAAAATTAAAGTAAAACAGATAATTTATTGGCAGATAAACCCTTCTTTCTGAAAATGTTGATAATTCTTTCTAGCTCTAAAATTCTATGAATTATCAAAGAATTAAAAAATAATGTTTCAGATGTGAATTAAATATAGAATAATTCAGAATAAGGTATATTTAGTAGGAAACATATACTTTATTATAGCCTCTCTCTGAAATCTGTGGTGTTGAACAAGAGAAGTAAAGACAACTAACTCATGATGATCACTAGGATTTTTAAATTTAAGTTTACTGAAGACAAAACTCTGACTTCCAAATTATTATTATCAACAATTACTTAGCCATCTTAAATCCTTCTGCTAACTAGATAGTATCTTATTTGATTCTCTTTTTTAGCCAGAAAGGAAATCCTTCAGAAAACAAAGCAATCAACAAATGTCCTCTGTCAGAGAAGGTCTAAGGCATGAAGAGATAAAAGCTCTATTTAGGAGGATTATATTTCTACCAGCATGAGACATGATGTTACCTGAAAATACTGAAAATTAAACAGCGGGACAGTAGCTCCTGAATTAGGTCTTTCATAGCATGGACTAACAAAATTAACCTTCAGGTCAGTTTTTTTTTTCTTTTAATAACACATCACAGTGATAAACAAATGTTTAGCAATATGTATCAATAGGGAAAAATAATTATTTAATATTTTTCCACTAAGATTTAGGGATAACTCACTCTCTCTTTTATCTCATTGGCTCTACTTCTTCTCACCCATCTCTAAATATTGATGCGCTCAGGCTTTGGTCCTTTTCTCTGCCTATATTCATTTCCTAGACGATTTTATTCAGTGCCATGGCAGCATCTGTACACCAGTGACTCCCAATTTATATTTCTAGTCTTCAACTCTCTCCTGAGCCCTGGCCTTGTCTATCCTATTGTTTACTCTCCATTCCTGCTTGAATGTGCAAGAAGCATTTAAACTTACCATGACCAAAATAGAACTCCGTATGTGGACTTCCTCTAACCTTCCTCCTTCCCCATCTTCCATCTTATTCATCCAGGATAAAAATGTAGGATACTATGCTTTCCTCCTCTTTCTGTCTCTCTCATGCCAACATCCTTACCATGGCCAAACTTTTACATGATCTTTCTCTGTCCTCTCCTCCCACACTCTACCTTGACCTAGCCTCATGGACTTCTGGCAGTTCCTTTTACATGCCAGTTATTCCCATCTCAGAACCCTTGGACTTACTTGTCCTAGAGTCATTCCCCTGTCCTGTCCCACCTCCAGCATACTCTACTCCCTCATCCTGCATTTTCTCCACAACACATATCATTAGCTGACAACCTATTATATATTTGTATGTTCATTTGTGTGTCTTATTCACTGTTGTATCCTCAACTTCTAGGAAAATACTTGGTATGTGGCAAGTACTTGGTATTGGATGATTGTTGCTGTGATATAGCAATGCCCCAATAAAATGGTGTCTCTGTATGATGGAATTCCAAAACACCTTACATACTTATATCAATTTACAAATATGTAGTCTTCATTTTTATATGAAAATTTTAAATTATTCATAACTGTCTTCTAATTCAGTAATTTAAAATATAAAAATATTTCTAAAAATATAAGTATATATAAGTAAAATACACAGTACAATGAAGCACAGTATTTACTATGATACCTAATGAAGAAAAAGGGAACATTTTTAAAAAATCACTAAATTTAAAAATTAACAAACATTTTTAGGACTCACAAATTTGAACTCAATCTCTCTACGAACAGCTACTAAATATATAAGGATTTATTCTTTACCAATAAGCTTTGATGTCGTCACAATACTATCAATCAATTGGGTATAATATGACTCTAGTTCTTTAATTAATTCACACTTAGGACGAATTAGGAAGCTCATAATTCTTTCATATAAAGTTAACATATTAGTAGATGAGAAAATGAAAGCTAATTTGAGGAAATTACACTGTTAACAAATTTCATGGAAAATTATAAAAATGCACTTACTTTTTTCATCAGCTTTGTCTTTTATTGCAATGGTATCATTACTCAGAGACACAGTCTGTGCATTCAGAATATCTGTTCTCATTCCAGGAAATTTTGGAGAAGAAATGAAGCGGCCTTCATAAGAATATAAATAGATACCACCACCATCTACAAGAAGAAAATGTCTAAAAAAAAAAAAAAAGAATAAAAATACATTCTCAAATAGAAGCTTACTATATTTTCATTTTTATACTGGAGAAAAGTCTATTCTTTGGAAAAATCTAATTTTTTTTCCTTTGAAAATTTATGGCATTGCAAAAAACAATTCAAACAATAAAGCAAAAGCAAAAGATCTCTAGCAATCCTCTCTCTATAGAGATAATTTAGGACAAAGTATAGATATATTATAATTTTATTTTATTAACTCATTCCTGATGGACATTTATTTCAAATTATTCATTGTTTTAAAGAATATCTATAAACAGTTTTATAGAATGTCTATACACATGTTTTAAAGAATGTATATACATATCTCCGTATGTCTACCTTACTTATTTCCTTAGTATAACTTCTAGAAATATAATAATTGGCTCAAAGGGCATATACTTATAAAATTTTAATATGTATTTTTAAACTGCCCTTTAAAAGGTTTTAGTAATTTACACTCATATTACTGCCATATTGGAGTGCCTGATTCCTCGATGCTGAACGCAGTATTACTTTTTAAAATCTTATGTTCAAAACTGTAAGACCCTTGATCAGAACTATTTATTGATTTAGGAATTGCTAAGTGTTCTTTCTTGCCTTGGAAACGAATACATACATTTTAATTAAACTAATACTTGAGTACTGGTATGTAGTTTAATTGAAGGGTTTGGTCCTTACACATTAATGTATGAAAACAATATTTGCTAATGTTGACAAAGTGACACATCATATTAGTATATATTTTTACTTTGTTTCAATATTAAAAACTTTTTTCTCTCCTGAACAAGACATCGTGTAAGCTTTTAACCTTCTTGTGAGTAACACTGTGTTTCAAAGGGCAAACATTTCTAAATGTAGAAATAGAACAAATATTAGGCAGTAAGTAAATTATTCTTTAATTGCCTAATCAGTTATGCCATTAACATATGCCTTTACTAAGAGCATATTCAATACACTAATAAGTAATGTATAAATAAAATTTATTTGGCACTGTTCAAGTAAAAAGAATTTCAGAAATATGGTTTTTTAGATAGCTGACACCTTATCTTTTAAGTGGAAAAGAGGTCTTTTTGTATTAAAAATGTATGATATTACAAGATAATATATTTCACTTTCACTAAACAGATGAGACAAAATTTGACACAATTTTTCAACCACTCAAGGTCATCAATGTGATGATCAGCTTCAGTAACTGTTTAACTGACAGCTTTGGTACTCATGAGAATCTCTTGGTGCATCAGAATAATTAAGCTATTCAGCGATACAGTTCTGTGCTTTTTGTTTTCTCTATGCTGCCTTACCAGGCAGTCACTTTTCTTATCCTTGTGCCAGCCTCTCACAGCCCACCAGCATTCCTCTTCTGGTTTGCTATTTATAAAAGCTGGGGGTTAGAAAACCTGGTAACAACACTATTAAGAGATTGCCTAGGTGTGAGTAAAGGAATGAGGAATAAAATATATGGTTTTAGTGCAAAGATTTCATGGGTAGCTATTTTAGGCAATTGCTGATTCTATTTTCAAACTTTATTTCTGGTTTTGTTGGGTTGTAGCTTCCTAAGACTGACCTTTGATTCAATTGGATATCACTGTACTCGATAGACTGATTGATGATAGTTTTCATGGAAAAGTGTGGGTTCTTGAGGAATAGCTATTCCCAATTTACTCCAGTTTGTTGGCCTGGAGTTTCACGGTCCTGCATACACCAAAGGTGTGGTAAAGAATATTATTTTTCAAACTTCAGATCACAGTCATGTAGTGGCTCATAAAATCAATGTGTTTCAAATATTTAAAACCAAAAGAACTGAACATTATAAAAAATAAGGGTCCTGAGGTCAAAACGACCTTATAGTAATTCCCCCATTTCTTTCTTTCTTTATTTTTTAAAAAGATTTTATTTATTTATTTGAGAAAGAGAGAGAAGGGGACATAAGAGGGGGAAGGGACAGAAGGAGAGGGAAAAGCAGACTCCCCACTGAGTGCAGAGCTCAACTTGGGGCTTGGTCCCAGGACCCTGAGATCATGACGTGAGCTGAAGTCAGAAGTTTAACCAACTGAGCCACCTAGGTGCCCCAACTCACCCGTTTCCCTCTCATTCTCTCACATCACTACTTTGATATTTACTTGTAATAAATTTAGTCTCATCATTCTTAATAAATTAATTCCTTTTATATTTCTCAATGTAAATTTTTAGTATAGTAAATGATGAGACATATAACTTATATATAACCTCCAAGAATGTTTTTTAAGAGTGTAGAGAGGGGTGCCTGGGTGGCTCAGTCAGTTAAACATCTGAATCTGGATCTCAGCTCAGGTCTTGATCTAAGGCTCATGAGTTCAAGCTCCACACTGGGCTCTACACTTTAAAAAAAAAAAAAAAAAAAAAAAAAAAAAAAAAGGTAGAGAAATTCTGAGACCAACAAGTTTCAGAACCACTGACCTAATAGTTTATTCCTACTCTTTTCCTTTAAAATAAATAAAAACAGATTGATCCCAAATGACTAATATACCATTCTGTAAGTGCATGCTTTAAAGAGTACTTTACTGCAATCTGAAATATTTTAACCCCATATTCAAGAGTCAAACATGATAAACAAATACCTTTCTGCCTGCAGAATTAAACTAACAGTTCCTTCTTTAAGATCAAATATAAGTGGCGTATTCCAGTTCTTCGTACTAAAAGATAAATAAAATAGATATTTATTAACTTTTTAAAAAACCAAATACTCTTTAATAAATAGATAAGTATTCACTTTAAAAAGTATTATCAGTTTCACCATAACTGTATATATTTCTATTATAGCACTAGGCACATTGTTCTGATATCATTCACTTACATGTCTGTATCCCTGACTAGAAATCAAACTCTGGGTAAGTAATAAGTATTCAATAGTAAATGTTCAACAAATGTTTATTCTAGGTATCACAATATGTGAATTGAGGAATCCTAAGTACATATTCTGTCATTTATTAGCTCTGTGATTTGGGCAAGTCATCTTACGTTTCTCATCTGATAAACAGTAATGGTATGGCTCCGGGAAGAAAGGACACATTTTTGGCTAGCCAGATCAGGATTAGCGATCTGGTTGCACCACCTGTCGGCTATATGATCTTAATAAGATTAATCTCCTAAGAATCAGTTTCCTTATTTGTAAAATGAAGATAATGGTGACTCACCTAAAGTGCCTAGCTAACTGCCTGTTATATAGTAGATCTTGGACAAACAGAAACTATAATAACAATAATGAATATGAGCATTTTTCCTGCAGGTCTCCCAATGTTACTGTTGGTCCAAATGAAGATTTCTGTGAAGCATTCTGTAAACTAAAATACTGTATAAATGTAAGTTATAACCATGCTTATTGAATGAATGGATAAATAAATGAACAAATAACTCCTTTGGTTTCTACAGTGTAATAGGATTCAAAGATAGGCAAGAGGGAGAGAACATTTACAAACTGAAAACCACCCCAAGTCATCAAAATTTCACATTTAAAATGTTTTATTACTCTTATATATTCTGAATTCCTCTCAATTATTTTCATGAAGCCAATTCTTTAAATCAGATTAAACCTCATATTCAGATCCAGAAAGTGTGGGAAGGGGAAGGCTGCAGTAAGTAGGCACACTGATGGGAAATTAATACTGGCTAATGCCAGTAAGTAAATGCATTTCAATAAGTAAATGCATGCACAAAGCAAAACAATGAATAAACTACAAATAATTAGTAAGCCTGGTGTTCACAGGTATGATAAAGATATGTGCTTTGTACTTTAGAAAAGATACCATAGCATGTTTCATTTATGTAGTCATTAGAATTAACCTTCAGTCTTTGATAATAGTGATTGTGAGGTTTTTTTTACTATTATTATTTATTTGACAGAGAGAGAGAAATCACAAGCAGGCAGAGAGGTAGGCAGAGAGAGGGGAGGAAGCAGGCTCCCCACGGAGCAGAGAGCCCGACGTGGGGCTCGATCCCAGGACCCTGGGATCATGACCTGAGCTGAAGGCAGAGGCTTTAACCCACTGAGCCACCCAGGCGCCCCTGTTTGTTTTGTTTTTTGTTTTTTTTTTTAAGATTTTATTTATTTATTTGACAGAGAGGTAGAGAGCACAAGAAGGCAAAGTGGCAGGCAGAGGGAGAGGGAGATGCAGGCTCTCCATTGATGCAGGGCTCCATCCCAGGGCCCTGGGATAATGACCTGAGTCGAAGGCAGCTGCTTAACTAATTGAGCCACCCAGGTGCCTGATTGTGAGGTTTTTTAAAGTCCCCCTGCAAAATATCTGGTATTTATGACAACTGGGATATATATGTCTGCCCTAAGCCACACTGATGAATAGGAGCAATTTTCTAAAAATTATTTGAATTCTAAATTCTAAAAAATTATTTGAAAAATCAAATGAAAATTTAACATAGAACACTTATGTATTATTTACTTTTTCTGGAACTTCTTTTCATATAAACCACTATATTGCTTACATGCTTGTTTTAAAAATTACATTTTTATTACTAAAAAGGGGTAACAGTTATCAAGAACTGGGGGTCAAACCCCAGCTCTTCCTTTAGTAAGGAAGTTTAGTAATTTGACCTAAGGTCAGTTACTTAAATACTCTGTATATCCGTTAGTTTCTTCATCTTGTAAAACGGAAATAATAATAATATTCAACACACAGGGTAAATTAGACCATGACCATAAAGACAGTATAATAGTGCTCAATAAACAATAGTTGTTATTTAAAATACTAGTAGGTGTTCTGGGGCCCCTGGCTGGCTCAGTCAGTAGAGGATATGATTCTTGATCTCAGAGTTGTGAGGCTGAACCCCACATTGGGTTTAGAGTTTACTTAAAAATAAAATCTTTAATACATAAATAAAATAAAAATGCTAGCAGTTTTTTTAATTTAATGAAATATATTTTGGTGATGATAGGTCTCAGCACTACCTCATTCCCACTACCTGGTATTTCACTTTAATAAATAATTTTGTACCTTAGTAAATGTCTTGACAAGAGAGGGAAGGCATGTCTAAGTCAGAAAAGAAGAAAAGCAGTCTTATATTTTGCCACATATTAACTAATATATGAAAAGTAGGGTGATAAAAAAATTAAATCATAACTGCCAAACTTTTCTTAAGTATTTTAAAAAGCAGTTTTTCTAATACAAGTAACACATGATACTAATCCTATGGATTCAAACATTACATCATTGCCACTAAAGCTAGCAGAATAAACCCATCATTTGGGGTAGTTAAGAACCCTACCTTTCTTCAAACAAACCCTAAATTGAAGAGATCTTCTCTATTTTTCCTCAACTCCATGAAAATTAATTATTCAAATGACTATGTGCACTAAGTGATTGTGAAATTTCTTCACATTCTATAGTCTCTCCCCTATATAGCAACTATTTAACTTAGTATCTTTCTTGACTTTCCCGAGTCTTATTGTTGCTCCTTCTCATTCATATGAGAAAAAATTTTCTTATATTAATTTAAATTATATTAGATTAAGTTATATTATAACTTAAATTGAGCCACCTGTTTCTTTATCCCCTCTTCTCTGCTTCTTCCATTTAATTCTTGACTGCTGTCCTAAGTTGCAGATTCTGATTAGTAGCAGATTTACATATAGTGAGTGAGAATTTTTAATATATAGTTGTAGTAAGTGTTATTGTTAATCATATTGGATACCTTTGTGTTGTGTACTACTGGGCTTAGGAATCCAAGATACCACTATACTTTGTTTTTTGATTCATTTATTCATCCAAGAATTTTTTTTCATTAAGTACCTATACATGGTGAACACAGTACAGTGCTGGATACTGGGTGTCTAGTTGTGAATAAGACACATATATAGTCCTTATCTTCAATTTTATATCCAATGATTAAACTATAATCACATGATGTTATAAATATAAGCACAGAATGTAAAAAACAATCCTTAACTATTCACAACTCAGGAAAGTAACATAGTGGTGACTTGAGTTTCCTGGATAGTTGAGAAGTCAGCTGGGGGCATGCTTAGAGCCAGCTTGTACCAACTGGTATATTTTCAGGAATTCTGCAAACCAACTGTTTAACAGAGCTATTATTTAAAATTAAATTATATAAACTTATAACTAAGCAAATTATATTCAAAACAAAGATAAGTGCTCCAAACCTATTACTTCCAGATAATCTTACTACATTTTACTATTATCTATGCACTTGAGATTATTTACATCTGTTGTATCTATATGGTGGCAATTCTATATAATGGCTTGCTACTGCGCATCTCTTTTCAATTCTGCTTTCAGTGACATCATACTGGTATCTTGAAATCAGCCTTGGTAGAAGTATTTACATTACAGAAACAGGCAAACACTGAAAAATCAGGTTTGTTTATTTCCAGAAAGCTAGTTCAACATTCATCAGCACATACTGAGTTACATTTTGAAAAATACCAAGTATATTTGTTTTAGGCACAAGTTTCTCGGGTGTACTGAAATTATTCCCTGCTTTCTAAAAAGCAGATTGAATATATTTTCCTTCATCATCTCTGGGCAACTCTGTATCTTCAGTATGAACATCCATGATTACCCTAGGCTATTACACTAAGCCTGAATACCTCATTGTGTCTCTATTGAACATCTTTTAGCCGTTGTCAGGCTGTTAGCTGTTCCCTCTCTTCCAGTGGCTAGGTGGGTCCTTTTCCTAACAATTATCAGCTGTTCCTACAGACTCTGAAATCAAGTTATACTAAATTCCTTAAGACTGTGAGTAAAGAAAGAGTAAACACTCTCAGAGAAAGTATTTCTATTACAAAAATGATTATTAACCTCTGATGCACACCCTTATTAGATTTATTTTCATTGGCTATAGCTCATTTTAAAATCACTTCTTGATTGGGAGTAAGTGAGGATAAGCGAGGTTTTAAGAAAATTAAATTTAGAACCAAACCATGTTGATAGGAAAGGCTGAAAATAAATTTCCTCATCACAGACAAAACTCTGAATTTTTAAGAAATGCAAGATGCTTACGAGAACACATAACATTGAAGAGACGTTGAAACAACTAAGTGTGCATAGTTCAAAGATGCTTTAATGACTCTATCACGGAATTCCAGTAAATCCACTGCATCATTAAGAACATTGCGAACCTAAACAAGGAAAAATGAAATACCAACAAACAACATTAAAATACATCAGCATTTTAATTAGGTAAGTTAGCAAGATTTTGAAGCATAAAATTCAATGCACTCTAGATTACCTAATCATATAAAAAAGAGTTCAGTAGGAACTAGCCATAAGACAACATACTTGGTTTGTATAAAAGTCAACTAACAAAAGAGAGACATAAAAAAACTTTAGAAATGTAGATTTCTAACCTGAAAGCCAATCTGAATGTCAATGTAGCAATGGGGAAATAAGGTGAAAAATGCTGTAACACTGAGATATAGTAAATAATATATATGGCATATAGGAGTTGGAAAGAGACTATATGATTTCTACCCAAACAGTAAGAATATCTCTTTTTAGGGCTAGGTCTTACTTTAAAACTTAAGTTCTTACAAAAAGCGATATAATAATTTAAAAAAATCAAAATGGAGTGGTAGGTATTAGTAAAGCTGCACAGCTGCACAGTGAAGAAGTCAAGTTGCACAGAGGCGCACAAGTATTTCCATATGTTAAAACATAGAGATAATATATAAGGAAGCTAAGTACCAACAAACAAATAAAAATTTTACTTATGATAGTCAAACCATTATAAAAATGGTTTGCAAGGATTTTAACCCTTGGCAGTATCTGCTTACAACCTTGAAGTTGATGGACAATCTGCAACAAATTAAGAAAAACGTCGAGCAAGCTAAATTTATCTAATCTCTTGTCAATACCAGAATGGGTCGGACATTGTAGTAAAAGGTGAAAGTAGAGAAAAAGAGATTAATTGTATCTAGAAGTTAGAATTTTTTAAAATTCCCCTCAAAATGTTATCATCTTTCTAAATAAAATGTGACAACTATAGAAATGGTATGGAAAAAAGATTAAAAGATAAAGTCAAACTTCTTTTAAGTACTTCTTCAAAGCACTTATACCTATAAGGCATATTATATTTTTATTATCTGCTCTTCAACTCCCATCCCCACAAAACTACCACCATGATAGATAGCAAAATTACACATACATATATTCCTCGACCCAGCAATCTTACTTCTAGAATTCTATTGCAAAGACAAATAAGCAAAATCATGAAATAACACGCACATGAAATGCTGTAACTATCTACAGCTCTATTGGTAATAGCAAAAAACTGGAAACAGCCCAAATGTCTATCAGTAAGGGATAGACCAAATAAACTATGGCATACTCGCAAAGTGGAATGCTATACAGCTCCAAAAAGAAAGAAGATCTATAGAGTGATCTCCAGGATATAGTGTAAGGTGAAAAATGCAAGATGCAAAACAATGTGTACAGTATAAAACCTTTCATCTCATGAAGGGAAGGATATGAAGATATATGGATTTGTTTTTTTTTTCTTAAATGAATACTTTAATCAGTATATAAACAATTAGGTAAGCTTATGGAGAAGCTGACCAGGATACCTACACAGGGAGATGTAAGTATCTAAATTTCCAATATTTTATTTTTTTACACACTATTTATTTAAGTTGTTTATTGTATAAATTTTCATGTGCCACATTAGAAGTCCTTTATTGTAAAGACCATTATTTTGTCTGATGACAAACAGCAGCCATATTGTTAGTGATTATTCTGGACCTCCACGTAGGATAAATTCAATTTCTTCTTGAGATACAAGCTTCTTTCTGTATTTCTGAGGTAATATTTTCATTATTTCTGCAGTGTCTGGTGGACCCTGATGCATGCAAATCTGGTGATTTACTCCCTTTAGAATGCTGTGAAATTGAAGAAGAGTGGGATGGTAGTCCTGCTGATCTGAAACTTCTGATACACTGGGTTTAGGATTGTCTCTTCTGTCAGAGTACCATATTAATGGAGTATGTAGCTTGACTACTGGAATGACCCTGCCAGCAGATGCCATCTTCCTGTCCATCATCACCCTGCGATGGGGCAGCTTCTGGGGCACTTGCTAGGCACATAAATAATAGGAGCTCTGAGGAGTTGGGGATGGGCCCTACCTGTGATATATGGATTTGTTTATGTTACAGAAACAAAGCAAGAAACCCAAAACACTATTCATAACATATTAATTGATGTTGTTATTTTAAACTGTATTTTGGGGTATAGTTTAATATATATGTATGTACGCATATATATATATAATGTAAGACAGGCCAAAGATGGGACCATTTGAGCATTAAATAACGGTTCTCTAAAATGTTAAAATCTGCAAGTTTATAATGACAACATCATCATCAACAACAACATTCATGGGGAAATCAACTCATTATTTGAAAGTTGGAAAATACAGAAGATAACTTCATAACTATTTCACCTCAGGGTAACCAAATGGTTGAAAAGGCAGTGTCTCACGGAAGAACTTTAGCTAATAAACGTGTTAGGAATGGTAGGATTACAAGATCACCATTTTGCAAATCCCAGTGAAATATGGTTCTAGACAAGTATTATCAATGGCTGCTAAAAATATTAAAGTAAAAGCCTAAAGAGCTCTTCAGACTTTTTTAAATGATTGATGAATCAAGACTTACAATACCTGAACATATTAACCACAGCATCACTAAAAGAGAGCTAAGCTGACATATGTTGTCTCTTGATGTGATGTAACAGGAAGTCCACAGCATTGATTACAAAGTGTTCTTTATCCTTATCAGGGCTCTAAATCTAATAACCAGTTTACAGGAAATACAGGGGTTAGATGAACACATTAAATGGAATCACACCATAGAAATGCAAACGGGAAAATGTGAAAAATTCAACAGAACAAACCACCTGGCTTCTTAAGCAAGTAAGAAAGAGAAGAAATTGTTTCAGATTTAAAAAGACTGAAGACACAAATCAACTAAATGCAAAGTGAGACTTTGTTTCCTGACATTAACAAACCAACTATATAAGTATGTATTCAGAAAATAACTGGAGAAGTGGGACCTGTTATCATAGAAAGATATATTGAGGAAACAACTAGAGAAATGTGAAATGCTACTATGGTTATGATAAAATAAACAGTTTAATCTTTTGGACACTTTTTAAAAGTCTTACTACAAAACAGCAATGTTGGACTATATTAAAGAAAAAGACACTGATACATTTGCTTCACTCTTCAGTGAGTAGGGGAAATGACTGCAAAAGGGGGAGTACTCTGATCATAGGTGCTTCAAAGGATTGATGTTGTTCAGGGAAGAAGAAATTATTGTGGCCTGAAATCAGCAATGAAGGATAAGGAAGACATCCACTCCGTCTCTAGACCCAGTAATACCTGGCATAAAGAGGGAAAACACTTCTACTTGAGAAGTCTGTAGAAGAAACATTGCTCTCAGGAATCAGCCAATTTTGACTTGAAACAAAAATGTGAAGAGGGCTTTCAGTAAGAAGGCTGAGTTGTGTCTGCAAAGCCATGGATGTATACTGCAGGTTGCATACTACACAACCCCAGGGCTAAGAGAATGGATCCCCTAGAACCAAGCAGGCCATGACTGCAGGAGGCATCTCTGCAAGTCTCTCTTTAAATCCAAGGCTTTTTGAGGTCTTTCATGAAGGGGAGAAGACAACTACCTTGCAGATCCCCATGCTCTGATTTTAAAGAGACCTAAATCTGGCCACTTGTTACTTCAAGTACTTTTAGTTCCATTGGCTAGCAGAGCCACTCTCCTCCCTGCCTTTCCCACTCTGCTTCTGGACCAGGAGTCCAGCAGGTCAGAGACTTCACTCCACAGTCTCCATTTTTGTTCCCTTTCTGCTGCACAGAGATGTTTACCTTGTTTTTGAGTCCAGAAAAGTCTTTTTATTTTTATTTTATTTTTTAAGATTTTACTTATTTATTTGCCAGAGAGAGAGAGAGAGAGAGAGAGAGGGAGCATGAGCACGCACAAGCAGGGGGAAAGGCAGGCAGAGGCAGAGGGAGAAGCAGGCTCCCCACCAAGCAAGGAGCCCAATGCGGGACTTGATCCCAGGGCCCTAGGATCATGACCTGAGTCAAAAGTAGAGGCTTAACTGACTGAGCCACCCAGGTGTCCTGAGATAAGTCTTTTTAAAAATACATGTATTTCATATATTATTAATCTCTTTGGAGTCACAGGTAAGTCTCTCTCCCAAGTGTGAACTTAATGATACCATCTTAACCAGAAATCTACAAACTTTTTTAAAAGCCCATAATACCATCCTCTCTTAAAAACATTTTAAAGCTGGGGTGCCTGGGTGGCTCAGTGGGTTAAAGCCTCTGCCTTCGGCTCAGGTCATGATCCCAGGGTCCTGGGATCGAGCCCCACATCGGGCTCTCTGCTCAGCAGGGAGCCTGCTTCCTCCTCTCTCTGCCTGCCTCTCTGCCTACTTGTAATCTCTGTCTGTCAAATAAATAAATAACATCTTAAAAAAAAAACATTTTAAAGCTAATGGAATGGAATGAAAGTTTTTAAAGGAAGTTATATGGTTGTTTCTTTATAGCAACATGATACGCAGTGAAACAAACTAGCTGTTAATACCAGTTTGGGGAAATTCAATATTTTAACAGTACAATTGTATAAGCCTCTGCCATTATTCAACTACAAATAGGTTTCTTAAAATTCATATTTGCCTAAAGCATCCAATGCGGGGACTCGCTTTTTTGTGAACCTAGAACACTAGAACTAAAAAGGAATAAAACATCTCAGCCATATTAACAAAACACCCTGACAATTTTGGTTATAATTTCAAAACTATGTTAAATCCCACATCAGAAAGGTTCTGTGCCAAATATTTATTTTTTTGAAGATTTAAAGATTAAAAAAAGATTTAAAGATTTATGTACTTACTTATTTTTATTTTTCATTAATTAAATCATTTTTAGTTTGATGATCATGACTTTTTTTTTTAATTTTTAAAATTTATTTTCAGCGTAACAGTATTCATTGTTTTTGCACCACACCCAGTGCTCCATGCAATCCGTGCCCTCTCCAATACCCACCACCTGGTTCCCCCAACCTCCCACCCCCCGCCCCTTCAAAACCCTCAGATTGTTTTTCAGAGT